TCAAATGCCATCTCTCCTTTGCCCCTTATCAGTAGAGAATAAATAATTCAAAAGAAGCAGTCCTTCCCTTAGAAACATCCTCCGCATAGAAAATGCTCATTCAAGAAAAATAGCACGAGTCCTTCCTATTTAAGAGGATTCATATTGATCTCATCTAGTATGCTTCAGAGTTCAATACGCACACACAGAGATACAGACACACACACACACACACACACACAAATATACGTGTATATATCAGAATCAAACAGACCTGGGCTAGCATCATGGCTTCCCTATTTACTAGATGTATGTATGACCTTGAAGTCACTTAAAATCTCTAAGCATCTTTTGTTTTTCATTTGTAAAGTGAGGATCAGAGTACCTACTACAAAGATAGAGTTACTTGAGATCATTACACACAAAATTAAATTTAACACATAGTAATTGCTTATAAACAGTAGCCATCATTATGTTACCAAACTCTATATAAAAGTAGATTGGGATAATTTTAATTTTATAAATATTATAAATAACAATAATAAAACCAAATGTATTCTGATTTACAGTTTACAAAGCATACTTATAGGATTCTTTTAAATGGTAAGCTTCCTGAGGACATAACTATGTTTAACAAAAATTCAACGCAAACCTCTAAAGTTACTTAAGAAAGATATGCTTAATCTAGCAATTCAATTGTTTGCTTCATTTTATTAAAAAATTTAATTCCATTTATAAATTCTGGATTGGGCCTTGAGTCTTAAAATAATGTACCATTACATTCACTCAACTAAAATAGGCAAGATAATTAAGATAGAATAATGTACAAAAGTTTTTTGGAAAAAAAAAATTGAGGCCTAGAAGAAATTGAACTACTGTCAAGTAAGAATATTGAAACATTGACTAATGTTATTCAATTTTTTTTCTGATGTAGTTACCATAGAAAGCAGAACTTCTATAACTTAATTGTGAAAAGGAGACAGTGAAAATAAGTTTTTTAGCAAATAGAATCTTTAACTTGTGAAAATTCAGTTGGGTTATTTAATTTTAAGTGTTATAACTCTTTGGGGAAGGTAGTCTGTGTTACGCTTAAATTAGTTAAAAAACATCCACAGGGCCAATAAGCCTCCACAATCTTAAAGAGACAGGTCTGTATTGTACCTGTGTGTGTATGCTGATCCTGCCGGCATTTTTCCCTAGAAACCTTTCTCACTTCAATGGGTTAAGTGGCTGTGCTTTGAAGGACTCATAAAATGTTGTTTTGTTCATTTGGTTATTGTGTAACAAAACCCACGGCTATTTTCTAACCTTGTAAGTGGGGTATAGATGAGCCCAAAATACTAAATATTCTTCTTAAGAAATATAACTTAAGTTTAGAAGTATATTTAAGTCTAAACTTAAATATAAAATGTGCATAATGAAAGGATGTAATTATCAATGCAATAAGAATTTAAAACGTTCTTTTGGCATGTCCCTGAATGTTCTCATGGAATTAGGGAGTACTAAATATTCATTTGATTTTTGCTCTCCTTCGGGAAGAAAAAGTATAAAGTAAGAGAATTCTTCAGATATTTAGTGAAACGAGGTAGAATATAATTAAATAATGAGAGTTTACATATACAAAAATCATAGGATGAATCTTAAAATGCAAATAAATATCTAGGCAGATAACATAAAATAGTTAAATAATTTCCTTAACTATAAAATTCCAAATCCTTGAAAGGATTTAGTACCAAGCATTGTAATGACTTTTCTTTTGTCAACTAGATAACTCCCTAAAATTAATAACTTAATGATTGATTAGATTTTTTTTTATCATTTCTCTTATCGACATGCAAAGACATATAACACTGAGGAAAACTGGAAGAAAATAGCATGAGGAAAGTGAGCAGTGTGAACAGAAAAAAAACAAGCTTCAAGTAGAAAGAGCATATGTTAGCTGGGTAGACTTCAAGGAAATTACCTAAGTTCTTTCCTGCAAGTAATAAGGACATATGTATAGCATGTTATTCACCAATTTGGAAGTTAACTCAAACTCCTTGTTTCTTTACCCCCAGAATCTACCATCAGTCTCCAGCTCTATGCTCATCAGATCTGCATGACTTTGAATACGTTTAAATCTCCCAGTATCTCAGAGACAGATGAAGAGCTTCAGAGCTTCACTGAAGGATGGCCCCATGCAAACTCATTCGTATGTGCACGCGCCTAATTATAGATCGGTTAGTTACTATTTTTTCTAATCTTATTGTCCAATATGTTAGTAATTTTATTAACATGAAAAACCTTCAATAAATAGTAAAGCTGGAGATAGAGCTCCCTAATGAAGAGTTAATACCCAAACCACTTGAGTTATTTTAATAAATTTCTGTAATAAATAAAGCAAAGCATATTATGGTGTGCCATTGGAATTAAAGACAAGAATGTTTTTACAGTCATGAATACTGGAATCATAACAAACAAATGAGAAAGTAAAAAGCATGGAAACTAAAATTTCCAACTTTGCTATTACTAGGGGTAATATATACTAATTTTTTATATGCAAAAATAAATAAGAATTATTCGAAATATATTTGAAAGACACTTCTACATCTTTTTAAAAATAAAGCAACATAGAAATAAATAAACGTGGATGTTAGAAAATAATGAGGAGTCAAGGTTAAATAAGGTAGTTCCTGAATTATAAATACCCCATAATAAACAATCTGTATGGTCTTCACCCACCTTTTCTATTAGCTGGCATGACAGCAATTGTTAAAAAAAAAAATACAACCTAACAAAAATACAAGAAATCCAAAAAACCTCAACCTCATACCTTTTTGGTAATGACTGAGTTTAGAAGTAGAGGAAAGTGCAAACTGTGAAAATACACAGAGCTTAGGGGATCTGACCTCACCACAGCCTGCCTAGAATGGTAACCTCCTTGGATGAAGAATATTTTCTCTGATACTGACTGGCTTTTATTATTTTATATCTCCTAAAGAGATACTTACTAACGTCTTTTGGAGGATTAATGAAGTTTCTTTTAAAGAAATGCTGTAATAATGGATGCTTAGAAGTTCACATTTTAGTATGGACAGGTTCAATTAAATTGCTCAAACAACTAAAAAGAATTGCACTGAGAGATCTGAAGTTTTGTACACTTCGGGGTATAGATGAAAGAGACTGGGATTCCAGGCCTGTGGAGCGGGGCAGAAAGAATTGAGAAAGGGGCCGGCTGAGTGGCTCAGTTGGTTAAGAGCGCAAGCTTTGAACAACAGGGTTGCCAGTTCGATTCCCACATGGGCCAGTGAGATGTGCCCGAGCTGAGTTGCTGCTGAGCTGCCAACAGGTGGCAGGATGGCTCAGCTGGTGAGAGCATGTGCTCCTAACAACAAGGTTGCCAGTTTGACTCCCGAATGGGATGGTGGGCTACACCCACCCACAACTAAGATTGAACATGGCACCTTGAGGTGAGTGGCCGTATGACAACTGGACTTGGAGCTGAGCTAGCTGTGCCCTCCACAACTAAGACTGAAGGACAACAACTTTGCTGTTCCCCTTCCCTAATTCCCCAATAAAATCTTAAAAAAAAAAAAGAATTAAGAATTGAGAAAGGAGTGCAGAAAGGCAGGTGAAAGAATACTACTGAAATTCTGTTGGCCCACAAGGGAAAGGAGAAGAAACTTCCTTTTACTATGTAGCATGACCCTTCAAGGGCTGAGGGACATACCCTCATACTAGTTGTCCCTATGATATGGTTTCCTTTTGACAGGTTACCTTGGGAATCTATTGCTCTTTTATATATAACATTTCTATGTCCTGGGTAATATACAACCATCTTACACATGGTTTTTGGAGCACTATCCATTTTGAATGGGAACGATTTATATAACACTGTCAACAAAGATAAATATCTAAATAGAAAGAAGTAAGTTTTCATATCCAACAAACTAAGTCTCCCTGTAATTTAGTGATAACCCTGAATAACTTTCATTCTGTAGCATCTGGAAGGTCCCTGCTTATCAGATGACACTTCCCTCTATAGCACATTTTAAATATTTTAGACGTGTTGGAAATATTCTTGCAAAGTCAGTCTGTTACGTAAAGGCCAGCTTTGGTAAATGACAACTATAAATGATTGGCTCCCTTTTACGTTCAACACCTTTGATGCCATATTTTCAGAATTAATAATAACTTTTAAAAGCTCAGGAGACTTATACAAGTATTTTATAACAATTGTCTTTTGTCTATTTAAGCATCACAAAATAGTGGCTCTTTTAAGAATCTAAACTTGTTAAGATAGCTGATGATAGTTTTTATTGAGAATTTGATAAAATATCTCAATAGACAACAGTTTTTCAAATGTGCCAATATTTTGAATAATTTATAATGATTTTAAAAGATTTTAAAATTACTTTTCTTTAAAAATTACACACTTTACTATTTCCAATACATACTGATGACACATATTTAGTACACATATTTTTATTTTTCCATCCAAAGGTAATTTTTACTTTGTGTTTAATTTTTAAATGCTAAGCAATTTAAATAATGAAGTGTCTATTTGCAATTTAGACTTTTAATGTAATTCCATACTAAAGTAAGAAGTTACAAGAAAGGTTTTTTAAAAATAATATAAACAATATCAAGTAATTACAAATTTAATTCTCTTAAACTTGTGATTAGAAATGTGGACACTCCCAGAATATCTGCTGTAAAAAAAAAATCTATCATATGAAATGAATTATTGAGCATAATTTTAAAGGTTTAATGTGTAAAACTATTTGTCTCAGAAAAAAAAAAAAAAGATTGGTTGAACATTGTAGTCCGAAGTTCATATTGAACTCTAAGTATTAAGAAGATTAAGTGATTCTCCGAACACCAGTGAGAAGTGTGTAGAAGATGGAGGTCACCCTTTGAAAGAAGATCTCTGTGACCTGTATAAATAGGAGCCCCACAAACACTTCCAACAAGCATAGGTCAGAACAGGGTCATGGCTTCAGGCCCTCTGGACCACTGATGGCCCAGAGGAGTGTGCTCACCGCGTTAATCTCTCATCCTTCAGTTCCAGGTCTGCCACTGTGATGAGCTGATCCAGCTTGAATTTAGTGTCAATAATTTCTGCATCCCGGGGAGAGTATGTGCCACCTTCTTTCTGCTTCTGCCGAATTCTAAAATAAGTGTAGCAAAGTCCAGGAAGGGAATATCACAGAAAGCATATGAAATTAGGTTTAGTTGTTTTTTTTAAGTAAAGACATGAGACAAATAATATCTTTGTTGGGATCACTTCTCGGAATATATTGCAAATGTAGAGCTACTCAACTTCTTTTTCTGTTTTAATGTCATATAATTTATTCTACTACATATTTTTTTTCATGTTGTTTTATTGAAGTTTCAAGTTTTAATGAGAATAATTGATCAAATCCTGAGTCACTGCCACATTTAAAATATAGGGCAAAGGAGACTAATGCTGTGAGCTGGTTTCTCCTCCCCTCTAGCTAGCTATCTCATGGTTTTGTCACAAAAAAGAAATATGACAAAGTGGAAATAGTTCATTGCTATTAGCACCAGTGCTAAAAGACAATGCTCCATTATTTTTACATATATAAAACATTTTTATATACATAAAGATATGTAAAAATGTGTCTTGAACTATATTCTTGATTTTTGACAAATACTGTGAAGTATATAATATTATTTACTTATAATCAGAAAACTCAGGTTCAAAAATAAAAATCACATGAATCTGAGAATAAAATTAAAGTCTTCATTTTAAGTCATTTACATGCTAATTTGTCTATGACATGGCGGGGTACATTACAAAGTAATGTTTAGCTTTTCTATCTATCCTTCATATTTTAAATGTGTATTATTTATTACGAGTTATGTATTGAAGATGATATAGGAGGTATCTTCAAGGACATTACAACTTAGTTGAGAAGCAGGATCTAAACTTAGAAGAAGCATCAAAAGAGAAAAAAGATTCAAATTACAAATCATAAGACAGTAACTGATTAGTTATAAAATGTTATATAAATGATTACAACTCTTAGTATTAATATTTAGAAGTAAAGAAGTAGGATTTGACGTGGGTGTTCCAGAATGAGAAGAGGAAGCACATTTCCAGTTGACTGAACAAAAAAGTAGAGTTGTACAAAAGCGTAAGGAATGTTCAGGTGAGAATAGACCCATTTGGCTGAAGAGATGTAGGGAAGTGGTAGGGAATAAGGGAGGACCACTTCCTGCCCACATAAGGAGTTCATCCTGTAAGGAAATGAGAAAGTCAGAAAAGATTTTAGAACAGGAAAACAATATAAATATGGCAGGTGCATACCCTTTAGGGACAACATCCATGTCTTACACAATATGTCTTTAAAATACCTAGAATAATGACTTGCTCTCATTACCTTCTGGCTGAATCTGAGAACAGTATGTGGTAAAAAAAAATATCTTTTTCAAGAGCCTTTCAAATTATCTATCAAAATGATTTAAGATATTTAAGATGAAACAGGCCGTGCATGGAATTCAGAATACATGACAAGGTTCTTCAGATAAAAATAGAACCTAATGAACTACTTTGAAAATTAGTAGAATGGTTACTTTTACAAATGTAAGGTCCCTTTAACTCAGTAATCTACCTAACAAAACTAGATTTTAGGATCATAACTAAGATTTCCCCCAAGGTCCTGTAAACCACAGGTTAATTAAGAGATTGATCCTGAGAATTTGGAAGGACATTTGGAAAATTAGTACAGATAGGTTGGTAAAGTAAATATGAGAAAGGGTACCGCTATAGAAACAAGTCAGACATCTTTAAAGTGTTGTACTTACTATAAAAATTATCTCTTCTGTATAAACTTTAAAACTTAGACCTGATTAAAGCATTTTAATTAAACCTCTCAGAGTTATAAATTATTCAAAAAATGCAGAAAGCCTGGCACCTTCTGCTTTCGTGTTATCACTTTATGATCTCCCAGCTCGAAATCCACTCTCCTTTGCATTGCTTTGTGTACTGGAGCTAGACTCTAGACAATTTCTCCTTTGCCAGCTGGCAGGGTGCTAAGCTTTGTTAATAGAGGACATTAGAGGACCTAGCAAGGAAATAACAACAGGGAGACCCTTCCCTTGTGGGTGTGTGCTGCACTATTACTGTTCATTGTGGCGGCCCAGCAGCAGCCCACCTGGATGAGCTCTAGCGGCCTCGTAAGTGCATGCTTTCCCCTCAAGTAAATGATACCTAGTAGCTCCAGCTTATCCATGACCTTCAGCAAGCGTGGGAAGCTTCTTCAGACCAATGCCAGCCTGCCTACCGTCCAGTAATGATGTTTATCCAGCCCCTCCCCTCCGTCACATTTCTTGGCCCACTGCTAGGTAATAGGCTGTGTGCTTGCAACCGCCATTCCATGTTAGCCTTGGGAGGGGGCTTCTTCCAGTTCTTAGTGCCTTTATTGTCCCCTCTCCTTCAGCCTGGAGAGAAAAGCTTCTTCCTATGGCTAGAACCCCTTAGAGTTCTCTATTACCATTTTAGTAGTTAATTATTTCTATTAGTTAATAATTCTTTTTATCAAAAGTTTCCCATTCAAGTAACTGCTGTGACTTTTGTCTCCTGACTGGAATATGACAGAATAATGCCGGTAAAGCAACCTAGGAATGTGAGTACAAATAAATCTTACCTTGCAAATGCAAAAATAGCTGTTCCAAGAAGAATGATTGAAAGGATACACAAGGTGACTGAGAGAATAATCTCTACAGTTCTTTCTGAAAGTCCTTCACCTGAAGAGGAGGAAGTATAACATTATCATTAATTATTGTTATGGAATACTATCTTGGATCACAAAAGACAGAAAAATATTTTCTTGGAAAATTGTTCAAGAATGCTACTAAAGTGTACAAATTTGTTTGTTGCTCTTCTTCTGTATCTTTTCCTATAATTTTATGACTCAGTTCTTGGTCCTTTTTTTCTTTATCTATATGTACTCACTCCCGTGGTGAGCCTATCTAGCCTCATGGTTTTAATTTCCATCTATATGATGATAACTACTTGATTGTTATCTATTGAGTTTATTTGTATATCCAATTGCTTACTAGAAGTGTAATTAAAATTTAAACATTAATATTTCCAAAACTAAACTGCTATACTTCCCTTCTTTCAACTGCATCCTTCCACCTCTAGTTGGTGACAAACTAGTCACACCCAAAATCTTAGAGCCATACTCTATTCTCTCTTTGTCTCATAGAACACATCCAAAATCTTTGAGAGAATCACATTGGTTCTATCTTCAAAGTGTATACTCTTTTTACTAAAAGAAACTTGGAAAACTTGGAGAGATGGTAATTCCAAAGTGGGAGCAGGGAATAAAAGAAATTAAGATGTTAATGGAATAAGAAAGCTAAGTAGCTATTAGAGACTAATTATATGAAAATAATAAATGATCCCCTTGAAGAGGTTCCTACAGGCCAAAGAGTGAACAATTTAAATGTTATAATAAATAATAACTGAAATTGATTGAAATAGAGTCAATATATAAAAATCCATGAGTTCTAATATTATCTGATGAAAGAGAAATAAAAAATAAACAAAAAATACTAATTTGTAAATATTGGTTACAGCTAGCCTACCATTTCCTTACTCTTAAAAATTTGTAATTAAAGAGAGAAAATTAGGCTTTTTTATTTTTGGCTTTCTCATGTGAACTGTGTTTTATGAATCAGAAATCACTTTAGTTAAGGAGATAAAACTCTCAGTAGAAGATAATTGTTTAATAAATGTGGAAGGAATATTAAAATTAGAAATTCACAATTTTACATTTCTAATGAAATAATTGATTCAGGTAACAATCATAAATGCATCCTTAAATGATTATAAGGGTGATAGGAAATTGGATATTTACAGGATGCCAAAGTACTACTCCATAAATTATTTGATAGTTATAACAAGGGAAAAACAACTTTCCAATGAAAGATCATGTTCTCATTACTGCTAACATTACTGATTAATTTTAACATCATTGAAAATGTGACAACCAAATAGTAAACAACTTCTGATGTGAGGTGCTTTGAATTAGGCAGCAACACCTATAAAGAATCCCTGCCAAAAATATTTATGGTGATTATTTAAATTTTTAGATCTTTCTTTCTTTCTTTTTTTCTTTATTTTTTAGCTGAGCCATCCTTCCACCTGTTGGCAGCTCAGTGGCTGCTCAGCTTGGGCCGGGAATTGAACCGCTGTTGCTCAGAGCTCAAACTCTTGAGCAAGCTCTTAACCAACTGAGCCACTCGCCCAGCCCCTCTTTCTTTTTTAATTGGGAAATTGGGGGAGGGGAACAGTGTTGGGGAATTGGGGAGAGAGATCAGTCAAGCTGTTCTTCAATCTTAGTTGTGGAGGGCACCAGTTGCCATCTGGCTGCCCGGCGGCAGCTTGTGGCCTCTAAGCTCAAGGTGCTGTGTTACAATCTTAGTTGCAGGTGCGCATAACCACTATCCCATGCAGGGGTTGAACTGGCAGCCTTGTTGTTACGAGCACACGCTCTATCCACTGAGCCATCTGGGTGGCAGCTCAGCTCAAGGTGCCGAGTTCAGTCTTAGCTGTGGGCGGGCATAGCCCACCATTGAACAGGCAGTCTTGTTAGGAGCACATGCTCTCACCAGCTGAGCCATCCTGCCACCTGTTGGCAGCTCAGCAACAGCTCAGCTCGGGTGCAGCCATGTGGGAATCCAACCGGCAGCCCTGTTGCTCAGAGCTTGCGCTCTTAAGCTAACTCTTAACCAACTGAGCCACTCAGCCGGCCCAAGATCTTATTTCTAATTTATAAGAAAGTGGTGAAAGGAGGAAAAAAATAAGTGAAACCAAGAAAAAGCAATCAGACAAATCCAATAGAATATGGGACCTCCTATAAGACAACTCATCTGGTTGCTTCAAATAGTCTATGGAATGGGGTGGGGGGGCAGGGGGAAGTTTCTTCTATATTAAGAAATTAAGAGACACAACAATCAAAGATAATGTGTGAACCTCTTGTTGGAATCCCGATTCAAACAAATTACAAGGAAAAAAGTCAGAGGATGATTTTTAAAAGTATATAGTACTAGATAATATCAAGGATTTATTGTTAATTTTCTTTAACTGTGACACAATGACAAAAATGTACTTATCGGAGGAACACAGTCAAGTATTTCAGGGTGGGAATTTACCGCTTTCTGTGATATTTTAAAATGCTTCAGAAATAAAAGAACAAGTGGATAAATAAAACAACCTAGCACAATTTTCAAAATTATTAAATTTAATTAGTAGGTATTTGGGGGTTCATTATACTATTCAAAACTTTTGTGTATGCTCTACTCATTTCTCACTAGCTCTGCTGCTAGCACCCTGACCCAGGCCACCACCCTGGTTTACATGAATTATTATTGTATAGATCCCTAACCATCTCCCTGTATTCATCATTCTTCTCTTTCCATTCTCAACTTAGCAGCAAGAGTCATCCTTTTATAATACTACCTCTCTATTTAAAATCCTCATCTCTCACAAGAAAAGTCAAAGTCCTTCCGATGAACTATGCGACCTGGTCTGTCATTAACATAAGTAGTAGGTCCCTGCTACTTCTGACTCCTCTTTCAATTTCGACTTCGATCACTCCTCTGGAGCCAGACTGGCCTTCTTGTTCCTGGAACACACTAAGTCACTCTTTATATAGGGCTTTTGCACCAGCTTCTTGCTCTGCCTGGAAAGGTATCTCCCTTGTGTATCTGCCTGGATGGTGATTTCATTACCTTTAAGGATTTGCACAAATACCATGCTCTCATTGAAGCCTATGCTGATGACTTCTTATGAATGTATATGTGACTCCAAAATTCATACGTTGAAGCTCTAAACCCCAGTGTGAATACATTTAGGGTAAGGAAGTAGTTAAGGCAAAATGAGGTCGTAAGGGTTAGGCCTAATCCAATAGGTCCAATAGGGTTAGCGTCCTTCTAAGAAGAGACACCAGCAAACTGGCTTTCTCCCTCTGCGCATTGCACACACAATGAGGAGCGGCCACGTGAGGGCAGTGAGGAGGAGGACTTCTGCAAGCCGGGACGAGAGCCCTCACCAGATACCAAATGGACTGCAACCTTGATCTTGCACATATAACCTCCAGACCTGTGAGAAAATAATGTTGCTTCAGCCACCCAGTCTACGGTGTTTTGTTATGGGAGCTCAAGAGAATGAAGACATCACCATTTAAAACTGAAAGATACAACTGGCTCACTTCCTGCCTCCTCCCTTCTACATCCTCTGCACACTGTTCCACTCTTTCTTTTCTCCGTAGTTCTTATCATCTTTTAATATACCTTACAATTCATTTATTTATTATCCTATTGTTAATTGTATGTCCATATTGTAAGCTCCCTGAGGACAAGGGTCTTTATTTTATTCAAAATTGTATTTCAAGTTCTAAGAATAGTACCAGGCACACAATACATGCTCAATAAATATTTGCTAAATTTACTAATGAATAAAAATATTGATTTTGAAACAGATATTAAAAATTTTCAAGTTGAAGATCAGGCATTGAACCAAGTAAATATATACAAATTATTAATCATTTATTTTAGACAACTACTACTTATAATTGTAATCAATTTTAATTTATATGATTTATAATTTACCATTTTACTATAAAAAAGTATTAAATTCAAGTAACAAAGCAAAATAGGTTAACTATCTGTAAAATATGCAGGGATTAATGTTCGACCTTTTTTGCCTGGATTGGTGCTTATGAAATGTTAACAGTGTGAAAAGGTTCCTGTGGTTATTCTGCATGGTAGATTTGAATGAATACTGAATTTTAAGGAGTTATCGCAGTTTCATGATCCTCTAGAATCTCCAGCTAAATTTAAAAGACACTAAATCAGCATGTAGCCCATAAAGTATTTTAGATACATCTTTTTTATAGATTAAACTATGAATGGTTTGTTTTATGAATTTTTACATGGTGACTCTAATTGGATATGCTTGGGAAAGGAAACATGAAAATAAAGAATCTTTATCAGGTAATATTGAATCACTGGACCTGAGAACTCAGTGGGGAAAAAACATGATTTCATAGACCACAAAATTAATTTTTTAGATGAGATTACCATTTCAAAGTATTAGTCAAGTGAAGTGAGGAAATGACATATAATGTATTAATAAACAATACGTAATCCTTTGGGCACACGTATTACAAAAGTACCACTAGGAAAGGACAAAATGTGCCATGATCGCGAGTACAAATTCTGATTCATTGCTATGCATGTACCCAGAGAGCATTACCAGTACAGAATGAGGTCACTTATTCAAGTCCTTGCATAGAAAATGGAATTCTTTCACTTAAAAATATAAACATGAATCTTTTTGGAATAAGTGCAAGACATTTTCTCACTAGACTTAAAATTCTATGAAAGGTCAAATTATGTTGTATTTGCATAATAAAATGCACTACTGTAATTAAGCTAATTATAATTAAGAAGTACTAATTAATTTTTCATAAGTATTATGTTTTGATTGAAATGATCATTTTTTAAACTCAGTATATGGTTCTGATTTATTAAGCCAGTTTTATATCTCTAAGAAGCTTAAGTTAAATGAGCTATAAAGCTTATAGGACAACGTCTGCCTCTTGATATAGGTGGATATTATATGATCTTATTATTATTATAATATTATTATTGATCTTAAAAGAAAACAAGTTCTTAACAGAACTTAAATATAATGAGTTCATTCTTTTGACTTAGTCATCCTGGATATTCTAATA